AAAAATTCAGAGAAATAAAAAGCCCCGTCATACAACTTTGTATAACGAGAGATATTGAAAAAACGATAGAAATGAGGGATCATGAACGAGCGAATCCAGCCTGCAGGCCTCTACTCCGGAGCTGTCCATACACCGCAAGCGACAGCTACGGAGATGTTTCTTCTCACAGCACTTTGTCAACGCGGGAAACAAACGGATATACTGAAAACTAATTCCGTACGAATTTATTATTTTATGTTGAAAGATATGCAGCTGTCAAGAAGAAATCCATAGAACGCCTGGCCCGGGGTGTATAGTCAGGTTTCATGAAGTCACGAGAAAGAGCAGAAACGCCTCACCTTCTCCTTTCTCTGCANGGGGTGTATAGTCAGGTTTCATGAAGTCACGAGAAAGAGCAGAAACGCCTCACCTTCTCCTTTCTCTGCATCTCCTGCAAGAGCTACGCCCAAATCATTGACGACAACTTTGGCGCCTTTTCTGGCGAAAGCTATGGCGTATGCTCGCCCGAGGCCTCCCCCCGCACCTGAGCATACACTCCAGCTGAACATACACCGCATATGAGAGTGTATGGTCGCTACTTGTTTGTGTTTCACACTTCCATTCTGCAACTTAAACTCGTCTTTCTGAACCAGTTGCAACACTGCAACTCTGGCAAATGTATCGAGCGGTGGAGCCACCAGAGCCCCTAAATAGGGCTAAGATGAGAGCATTACGTCGTTATCTGCATGTATTTCGGAATGAATAGTGTTGAAATGCTAGAACAAAAAGACAGAGATTGAAGTTTTCCTGCTGGAGCCAGCAACACAGACAGACACGAAACGCGCTGCTGCTGAGGGGTTTAGGGTGTTTATAGTACAGCCGCCTCTCGTCGCTATACCTGACCTGTAATGACGGCCACCTGGCCGTCAAATTGTTTTTCCATATCGTTTTTTTATTTAATAAAATAGAAGACAACAACTGCAAGCAGCAGGCAGCTGAAGAGCAGCAGCGGTGATGATACAGTCTGTAGTAGGGGGCCCGCTGGCGAGTGAGTAGTAGTAGTGCTAGCAGTTGGGTTCGGATTCCAGCAGCTGTGTATATACAGGAGGAGAGGGGAGAGAAGAGGTCTGAGTTGTTATTCAATTTGTTTTATTTATATATTTAAACATACGGAGAAACATGAATTATAAAAGAGAAAAAAAA